CGCACTTTAAAGCAATTTTATTTTCCACATTCCGGCAGAGATGATAGGCTGACAAGAATTAAGGACGTTTCGTAATTAGATCGCTGCGATTTACAGTGTGTTGAAAACAATTTAAGTTCATCGTCTTTATTTTTGCTTCAAAGTTATTCCAAATATTGAGAATTTGTCAATTGTCCCTTTTTCTTCCGGAAACCCCTTTAGGAATTATTGATTTGCGTAATATCATAATAGATGTTTGGTGTTCAAATGTTTGCATCATTGCATAAGGAGCAAAAATAAGCTACTTTTACCCAAATTCAATTTAAAGTAGACAGCACATCCATTAAAAAAAATTAAAAAAAAAAGCGATGAAGTGTTATATAATATAATATATTATGATCCATTACAGTGTAGTCAATGACCACATAATATAAAATCAATCGTACAATATTCAATATTTTGACTGTCGTGAAATCTATATTCGACAACTTGCGTAATGTATGAGCATACACAAATAGTTCTGAAAATTGTGATAGATCATTTTTCCAAACAATGCTTCTTATGACTCCATGTAGGAAATAGTTCACAGCCAGGTGAATTGACCGCAATATGGACTCATTATCCGGTAGAATGAGTCGTCAGTAAATTATGGGGAAATAGGAAGGGACCACCATGTACAAAAAAGCAACCCATACAAGTGTATTTGTTTATTAACGTTGATTGTTAAATTGACCATACTTATTATTTATCACAACTGAAACACAGAGGTACTACGAGTTTTCGCAACGATTCAATTCGAATATATTCTTTAAGACGGATGTCCTCTATGCAAGCAATTCGTATGTTGTTATACAATTATAATCGTAGAATAAATTGTAATTGAAGTTAACAAAAAAACATGAATGATTCAAGTATATTGTTCAGCTTCGGCCCATCCGATATGTTTCTGATATCATCTGTACCGCCTAACCCTAAAAGATGGATGACTCATTTGTCATAGTCCGATCCGCGAACCGAAAAATAATGATAGGGCTACACATAAACTATGAATGTTAGTTTATGATGACATCTCTTTAAACTAATTTTTTTCATTGAAAGTACATGAACCAAAATTTTACCAACTCGCATTTAAGTGTTCTTGTAATCTTGCTTGGTCAACCATACGTGGGCAGTACAACAGATTAAAAAAACATTTATGTTCTGCCTGCATGAATCGATCGTTTGCCATGATATCGAGAAAAAAAATCATCCGAGTCGACGACCTCGCGATCCAATAAGTGTCTTCTTTGTTTACGCCTAAACCGTAAAGTTCAGGAGATCGCGTTTTGATTGAAAGGGCTTTCAGAAATGACGCACAAACCTGGGTTGAATAAAAATTGTAGTTTTAGATCGGTTCAGATTTTCAGATAAGTTCAAACACTAAAGTTTTAAACGCAGTATGAAATCATGATCATTCGTATTTTTGGCGATAGATTTTAACCAGTTAAAAGGAATGGGTTAACGCATGAGAATTGATAAAAAACAAATATTCAACTGAACTTTGTTCTTATCGTTGCAAACATCATGAAAAATGTTTTGTTTGTTTAAAGCGTAGTCCTTTCATTTAAAAAAAAATAAGCATGCTTATGATATTTTTCTTGATACAAATTTATGATAAAATGTCATGCTGATCGAATTCTGTATACTTCTATGACGTAAGCTTTACGGATGCGATCCGTTGTTTTTTTGCTCATAACAAGTCCTCCTTTATGGAAGAAAGCTGCGGACTGCGGACAAAAGAGTAAATGTTTTTGATGGATGCTGTGGTACTAAATGTTAAGGTATAAACACACAACATCAATTAATGTGATACCAGAAACTCACAAACAAATCTCTGAAAAGCCAATCGTGAGCAAAATGTGTCATACAATGAGAAAATACCTTCTCAATGATGCATATCGGTGCACGTAGGGTTCGGGTCAGCTTATTAGCTCCTTCATATTTTTGCTCCGAGGTCAGCTATGCTACCGATGTGCTGCAATATGTCATTTGACAAATCATTCTTTATTTATTTGAAGTAGACGCTTCTGGGTTTAAAAACACTTTTAAATTTTCCCTATACTGGTCATCACCGCCCAAAAGTGCAGTTTAATTGTTCTTCAAATTTCTTGTCGCAGAACATCATTGAATTTAACTGCAACATAAGCATAAAATCGAATAACTATAAAAATAAGGTATTATAACGTCCTAATGTATTTCTCGTTTCTGTATACTTATATTGAAAATGTATTGTCTCAATTTGAAATAAACTCCTTGCTCGGATCCCTGGTAAATATCGTTGAATTAGAATTTTTGGAGCAATATTATTTCAATCAATGCTTTTTAAATCAAATATTCCAGCTCGTCTCAAATCTGTTGGACTGAGGTCCTAAAACAACAGCATCAATTGCTAATGAGCACTATGGGGATTATTTTTTTACCTTCCATCCTGTATGTACAGTTCATAATTTTTATAATTTTATAATTCATAATTTTTATGTTCTCGAGAGACAGAACCGGTTCCTGTTTTCTGCTTCTCCTTCAAAGAAACACTCGACATTTAAAAAAACTAATGAAGCATGGCGTGCTAGTATCATATATCAGTAAGTATGGGGGGGGGCACAATTGATCACAAGTTAAATTAGACTGAGACCGGGGGTACCTATGAAACGTAAACTGCAGCATTAGCTGCACCACGTGACGGAGGGTCACTCCCACAATTTGTGCTTCAATAAAATATTGCAATTGCTGACTTCATGTGATATTCAAATAAACTCTGACCAACAAATGTTGTCTACTTGCGTCATCTTGCGGATTGAATACGAATTTTGCCAAATCAATATGACGCTTCGTTCCTCAAAATTTGACTCACTATGCAATAAATTGTTACTTCACAATAATCTCTGTCTGTCTGAGCTATCAGCCGTATTTGAAGTCCAACTTGATTCAATACTAGCTACAACTTGGCGGAACTTTACTTACGCTTTACTTACTCATATTACAATTGCTTTATCATGGTTCACTTCCATAGGAAATGCCTTTCCGAGAATCTTCATTCGCTTTGCACACACGATTCTGGCCCTGGGTTACCATGAGCTTCAACCTGATTTATCGTCCACAGGAATTCGAATGTATATTATTCGAATTGGCTTAGTTGCCAGTGTGTATGTGTTATACGCACCCATGTTTTTCCACTGCGTCATCGTTTAGTTAGTTGATAACACCAGCAATACCATACAACCAATTCCGAGCGTTGTTATGCATTATGACTATTGAAAGAAAACGTTCGTGAACAGACATTTACTTGCAGTTTGCAAACAAATTAAACAAAGCAGCAAGACTCCTGAATCACTTAGTATATTATATACATTACAATAGCACAATACCGTACAGTACATTTCACAAATTAATACTGTACATCACGAAAACTTATAAACATAGTCAATGTAGAAAATATAACAGATATAGAGGAGACCAACCAATACGAAACTATAAGATTTCTCGGGTCTCTAGTAGGCTATTGGTCTTAGGAAGATTGTAAATACTATAAATCAGTGGTTCCTAACCTTTTTTTTCAACTGATCCAAATATTTGAAAAAATAAATTTTGTAAAATTTAGCGATTTAAGGATATGCACAAATACTGAACAGCATTTTTTTTATAGCCGCAAAATTGAATTATTATGTAAAAACGATAGTTTTATTTTACTCGAAATTACTTCAAAGTAAAAAAGTTTGCGCTTGTTTGCTTTCAGCGAGTTTTTGGAATTTGTAGCGTGACTTTACTTGAGCAAAATAGATGCTGCCAAGTTTTTACGAATTGATACTTCCCACATATGCAACTGAGCAGCACTTCAATACCATATAAAAATCAAATGAAAAAAAAATGATATGAATTGAGATAAATAAATGAATTTTTTTGAAAAAACAAGCGAATTTTCAGGCGACCCAGTCTGGGGTCGCGACCCATAGGTTGGGAAACACTGGTATAACGCATGCAGGATAGGTTATTGATTTGTATCTAACTTGTATACTTTATTGAATATCTGCAATGACTGATGTTCAATGGAGTCAAAAAAAAAATTGTGTGCTTCGTGTCGAATATTATTATTGTATATATTATAAAATGTTTCTCTGAAAACTACACGTTCTCTGCGATACAGTAATCTGAATTGTTTGTCATTGTTATCAAATATAGCCAGATACAAATATAAATATACACAATGTAACAAAACATAACATTTACCAAAATATGTATTCATTGTCATAATCAAAAGATATTAGTTTCATAAATTCTGCTTTTTCAGAAATATTAATCATCTCAGAAACCTAAAGGAAATACATAAGATACATCATTTCTAAATAAAAAAGGAATTATCAGAGTTATTTTGTCAGACGTTATGTGTGTTCACTAGGGCTGGGAATTTCAGGGAAAACACTTTAATCGTTAACCGGGTAAAATTAACCGGTTAACCGCCGCGTGACGTTTGACGTAATAATTTATAATTTCAGCTTATTACGTCACAATGCTTATAAAGCAATTTCGCGTGTTCTTATCCCGGTATCGCTTTTTAAAATTATTCACGAATCGAGATAGTTTCATGATTGCTCTGCTGCAGGAAATAGGCAGCGTGGTTCGGGCGTGTGAAAGTATTTTAGAAAACCTGATTCCGTTGTTAAACTTCATTTATGTGACAAATTATCAGTGTTTGATGTGCAAATTTTACTTCGAGATATATATCATGTAAAGAAAAACGGCATCAACTGCGCACTTGTTGTATGACATTGAATATCCGATCTTGCAATGAAATAATATATTTCGCGAACGATATATTTCGAAATCGACCGAAAACTGATTCTGAATTCATCATTGTCAAATTTCCATAATCAGCAATCTTAGTACTTCCATTATTTTTCACATTTATTGAGTTCTTACCCACACAGTTAGTAATATTTTTTTGAATTAAATGCCACAAGAGATAAATTTGCGATGATGTAATCATATTTGAAGAAATTGTACGGTATGAAGATGATTTGTACCTGAGATGTCAGTTAATGGTTGAAATAAATTGTAACCGTTAACCATATGAAATCGGTTAACCGGTTAACCATTCCCAGCCCTAGTGTTCACTCATTCAAATGAATCCGACTCAAGCAGCTTAGCTCCTTTAGCAAGTTGAAACGATATTCAAAGCATGAGGATCTGGCAAAATTGTTTCTTTAAAAATCACACAGCTGAAAGCTGACTGATCTGTGTGCTATTGTCTCGACTCTCGTATTTCATTCCTTTTCAAATAAGCTTCAAATGCATCCCCTTCACTTTCGTCATACCCTCTCATCAGTTGAGAATTACGCCGCCGACTGTCTCTTCGGTAACTTGAAATGTTGTTAAGATCTCTGACCATAAAGCAAGTAACAATCATTTGGAATACCTGTTTGTAGAATACAATTTATATTTGTGTTAGATTGTCCGAAATGTTTTCAAACAACGTTGGATATATATATATTGTAAGTTTCAATTCGCAACATTCTTTTCCAAGGAACAAAATCAAGATGGTATATATATATATTAATTATTTCGGCGGATGTAAAATGCAAGAAGGTATGTATAAATCATATATATACGTGATGTTTCAAATCGGGAGAAGTGAAAGTTTTTTATGTGGTGGCACAAAGAGTACGTATTTTGTTGTATAATAATTAATTATCTAATCTTGCTACCTCAAGTAAAAACATCAGTCCTGCAATGGATCCAGCGAGTATGATATTTTCATCGAAAAATCCAACAACTGAGTTGTAACAAGTCGTCTGAACGAAAAAGAGTGATTTGGAACAAACTTAATAATCCCATTTCACCTTAAATAGCAATAGGTCTGATCTATTTTGCTAGATTATCATGATTTCAGTTTTGTTCATTTATTGAATTACATTGTACCTTGTACGATTACCATTGTAAAAGTAATAATTGCGTGTTGCTAAGCAAGATTGCATGGATCAATACACGATATCACGATCAGGAATATTGTTAAATTTAAAAACGGGCAAACGACCAAATGATAATCATTCATGAATGTCACCATGATATTGATCATCAATCTCTAAATGATAAGATTTAGTTATTTTCTTGAAGTTTATACGGAGAATAAGATAAAATGCTTTTTTCCCATGTACACCTTCGTTGCTTAAATATCCGGACATACATCCACTATCTACTACAGATAGTTTTGACGCTTATCTTGAATTTCAATATAGAAAAAGGAATACTTCCAAAATGTGATTTTGTGTCAGTAATTTCACTAATTTCTTAAATTCAATTTTTTGTCTTAACCTCTGCGTCTACTACAGAACTTCAGGTAAGAAATTATTTCATCTCGGAACTCTACTTTGTGCTTTGCTTCATCGTTCAAAAAGTAGGCCCGCGTACTTATTTGGCCTGATACTATGTTTTCAACACATCAACAGACCAGTATTTATGTTTTTGCAGTAATCATGAATTTATAATTTGCCATAATAATCGCCATTGGTCGTTAGAAAACTCTTGCCACTACCAGACACAAACATAATAAATTTATGTTTGATAGATTTTGTAACTGTAGTCTTCGGCATACTATATGAGCAGAACGGCATTTGCAGGGGACGAAAAACACTCACCGACCATGGGGCACCGTCCCCTCCCGTCGTGGTGTTCAAGCAAGATTCTGGAAAAAGTCCCCCCCATTCATCTGGGGTTGAATATCCGCAACAACTAAACTGCAAAATGAATGAAACAAATCGAAAGAGTTATTTCAGTACAATTACTGTGTAAAGCAACGAATACATAAACTTGAGTGTATTTACTGATGAGTGAAATTGCGTAGTACCAACCAATGACATTTTAGCAAACTTGGATGTAGATATAAGCTACAATAGGTTGTGGCAAGGAATATGTGAGCAAATTTACAAGGCCATTCTCGTAATTCAACATTTAGGGCTCATATATTATAGATACAATTTTCACATAACTGCAGTGCGCGATTCCTGCACTGGGCTGTATTCACAATCCACATAGCCTACAACTAATGTCTGCGACGACACGGCCAAAGCCGTCAATAAATACATTACTGTGAAATCGCCCAAATAATATCCAATTCAAAATGGATTAAAGGTGTGAATAGACATCAAAATTGTGAAGTGAGGATTTCTACCATTTTAACTTACTCTGTCTTGAAGTAAATGTTTCGTCTCATTATTTAATTCGTACCATACAGTTGAAAGATGTGATTTGATGTGATCTTGTTCAACAACAGCAAATATAACAACAGCAATTTGTGCCAAAACAAATATAACGGTCACTGTGAGGTACTAAAAGATGTATAATAAATATTAAAAGGTATGTCAATATGACGTTAAAACACTTAATCAATGCTAGTATTGCGTTTATTTTATTATTAAACGATTGCTCTCTGATAAAGGATGGTGTTTTAGCATAAAGAGCATGTATTACACCATAACTTTGATTTTCTATAATTTGGTAAATACAAGGATCATTTCAGAACTGCAGGAATTTTCGACGATGTCAAAGAATTTATGTAAACTTACAGTAAGTTTCCTAGTGCATTAGAGTACACAACTTACGGTCATGAGCAAACATTTACTTTCATAGCAAGATCCAAGAGCACCACATGAGCCTGGAATAAGAAAAACATAAAGATATTTTATTGACTGCAGATTACGAAGTGTTGTAGTTGAAAGCAGAATATTTAAAAACGGACCATAAATATGCATGTCAAATGTTAAAACATATTACATATCAAGGTTGAGAACAATATGTTTATTTGAATTTGACGCACTTTGTTTTCAAACTAAACCCGAACTACAATTCGTGTGATCGTATTAAGTCCGACTCACCAAAATCTTCGTTTCAACGGTTATTTTTATATTTTATGTTATTGTAACTTAAGAATCGTATGTTTATTCCTATAAAGTATTAAAATCATCAATCATTGCAAAGCCGTACCTACTAGAAACACAATTCCGCCTATTGCAATCATTGCATATATGAGAAACATATTTCCGCTAACATACGTTAATACTTCTTGTACTGGTGATCCGACCAAAACGTAGACTCCAAAAGCCACCAGCACTAGTCCTACGAGCTGTAATTCAGATCAAGGTTATTTTATGTTGATACTATATGTCACGGCCAGTACTTGTTCATATCCAAACCACATATAACGCCGATGAGTGCATGACGTTTAATGCAAGTTTTCTAACTTGACTGACAGGCTTTAGCACCGTTTAAAAAGAATGCCAACTACAGAATGTCATGTTTTTGGCAAAATGTTACATGCAAAACTTCTACACCAAAGATTCTTCCAAAACTTTGATACTTCGTACAGCATATATCTAAAACATTTTCTTATATTTTCAATAAGGACATTTCCGATGATGAAGTGCTGCCCTCTCAATATCAATAACCAAAAGAAAGTGTATTGTTGTTGCACTCTGGCATTGGGTAAGGTAATAAATGATTGGAAATTCTATATGTCTTATTTTTTATTACCTTACAAAACACGGTCATTTGCTTCAAATAAAATTTGAAAATGTATAATAGACCGAGTAAACACTTTAGCTGTTCATTATTATTTGGGAGACATTTTCACGCTTCTGGTCTGCTAACAAATCTTTTATAGCCTACTTTAGGAGCTGAGAGACACCAATCATGTAATATAAAATTTTGATATTTCGTGTACATTGAAAATAAATTTTTATATAGAGGAGAATATACTCACAATAAAAAGTACATTCAAAATCACGTGAAAATATCGTATCCATGTATCCATATTTGCGACAATTGCAGCACAACGTATAGCCGAAAAAAAAAACTTTTTTCTAATCAAGTTATATGCTTCATCTGATAAAACGAAATAAAAAACATCATATATATATTTATCATTTTCTTTGATTAACTACTATTAAGATGGTTTATCAAAGTCTTCGGCGTGCTGGTCTTGACGAAGTACTCGGAAATAAAGAATCAAAAAGTATCAATAAATTGCACAGTCAGGAACCGTGGGATATGCGTTACCAAAAATTAAACTTTATTCATCCTTAAACCAAACATAATTCTTATAACATTAGAATCGTTGTTATTTTTGTTAAATTACATAATTTCGTGATAAATCACGTTTGAATATTTTCTACGATTTTGAATAAACTGATGTGTTACGCGAATCAATAAAGGTCGTTATTGATACATATAATTCAGGTCGAAAATGTCGAAAATTTTATATTAGTGTTATTTAAATTATTATTTAACTTTTTTGTTATGTTAAATAATTTTCAATATTCACTCATACTACTACGTTTCGTTGATTCCTGCGGTTTCAAGTTGACTATTGCATGGCTAGAAGCGCTTTGCATCTCAAGCATAGGAATCCGATGTACAACGAAATATGTTTCGTTTGAGATAGATCGCAAACTGTACCGATGAGTCTAAATTTCACTAACACTTAAGACGTTGATAGTTGACAGAGTATGTTTGGGGAATCTCAGAATTATGATGAATACATAAACGCAATGAAATGAAATTATGGTAGCTAGGCTGATACTTTGGGTATCCAGTCTTGCAATTCAAATTCGAAATTCATGAGAATCTCATAAAAATTCCAAAACGATAGTCAAAATAATAAAATTTTCACCAACTGCATTTTTTGAATATTCGAAAAATTATCAATATTATTTTGCTGATATTAGTCACAAAGTACTGTCCAAGAATTATCAGTCTTGGAATTGGATGGGTGAAATCAAAATACACAACTTTTTCAGTCTTTACATGCGAATGATTCAAGCAAGTCATCTCTTTCTATATGTTTATGTCAATATCTAGACATATTGCCAAGATGTGTAACAAGAGTTATTAGTTTTCTGTTCCTACTAAGTAACTAAATATTTATATCTTTGTCTTCCATTTTCTCCCGCGCTAAACTTAACTTCTATGTCTATGAAATGTTCACATGTACTCTATTGTACTCTATGTTGTATTCAAATAATTTCAACTTAAAAAATTCCACAAAATGACGTTTAATTAATAACTCAAGTGACCTGTATTCGATTGCATGTCGATTGCTCAATCTGTATGTTCGTAACAGGAAATTGCACATTGAACTTTGCACATTTAATTATCTACTTGATAATTGATACGACGTTGTTGATTTTATGAATTCGATAATTTCGACCACCATATATATCAGTCCAAGTTTTCGTCGAAATACCTGGGGTATTTCGAGCGAACAATGGTATACTGGTGTTTTGCTTAAAATACTTCTTAGGTAATTTTGTTCTGTTAGTATCCGCTATATCAGAGATGGCGAGCCACTGAATGGGGTTTTTCTTCAGTTACCCACGAAATCACGAATTAATGCAAACATACTATCATTTCAGTAAAATATAATAATAATACTGAATTCCATTTAACAAAATGTGAGCTACTATGGGATATACGTTTATGACATAAATATAGATATATAATTGATCCATTTTTACAACTTGTTTTGTAACAGAGGTTACCTTTCGAGGTGCACAAATGAAACGAGGGCGAAGAATGTATTTGGGAGTATACGAGAACTGGATGCTACTTTGCATTTTTTTTTCCGCATACAATGCCGTATGAAAAGCAAAATTTATTGGCATGGATGAACGACCTCGAGAATCAGAAATGAAAATGAAGCAGGATGGTAGTGTCTTCAATCGAGTACGAAAAATTACCCTCATATTAAGAGATACGCGTGTGAAGCTCAAAGAAACACAATATTGACCAAGAATTACAACACTTGCGGAAAAATGCAACAGCAAGTTTTTCAATGGCGCAAGCTTTGATTATTTAAATATATAATTACATGTATGACACATAACAATAATATCCTACACCGCCCATTCATCAAAAAGGTTGGCCTTCCTTGCGCTATAACAATTTCTTACATCTTCACACTTGCCATATGAAATTGAAATATTTCAAACACTAACGAAAAATTAGCATGACTTGAATAAAAACGCCACTATCGACGTATTATGTTGGTAGATAGAGGAATGTTGGGAAATAAATATATTCTAATACATTGCTAAAGTGCACTGCACATTTTGAAATTATCCAAAATGTTTGATATTTAGGATCGTTATCGATTCAGAAGTCAAATGAACCATGTCTAGGCATCCTATTCATTGCCTTTTTGTTTTTACGTGTATTCATTCTTCCTTCTATATCTATCAATGACGTCATGTAATTTGAAACCTTTTCATATACACCTGCTTACAAAATTTCTGGACTACACGCTTGTAATTGTTAAATCGCAATCTTAAATCAGTAGAAGCAAATCTTCTAATATATATTCAAAGGGAACGAAAAATATAATTTTCAAATACTAAATACCAACAATAAAGATTTTTTGCTCTATCATTTTTACGAAACTTAGGGCCCTGATTTCAAGACATTTCGCAGATTTAACTTACTAAAACTTCACTAAGATGGCATCATTATCTTTTAGTACGATGTTCTATAAATTTATCGTTTTAACATTTAGTCCTTCGCAGTAAGCATTGTACATATAGTCTACTAGTCAAACACGCTTATTAGACGCAGAGAGTTCGAAATAGCTTTCGTGACGCAAAACGTGCACGTGTCTGGATCAATGGCAAAAGATATATGACAGAAAACGCGAGCTTATCAATATAATATAATATCTAGATGTCAGAACGATTCATTTTGTGATATTGTGATATATAAACGACATGTTTGTTTATCAAACAGTAATTGACGGCATATCTGAATACATACGCTATGATGTGGAGCATCTCTATCTCAACGCTCTGTCGACAATATATATATCCCTCTATACCCCAAGAACCTGTAATGAACACTCATTAATTTTCACATAAAAGATGTCAAATGTACAGAAAATCTCGTCACTTCCCTCTAGTGGTAAAGAACCAATATCACCAATATTATGAGTAGTTGAACTACGGTTTATTACATCCAAGGATGGGCAAACTGCGACCCGCATGCAGCCCGCGGAAGCTTCAACAAAATACTTAAAAAATGAAATTCGATTAATGACATATTTTCCGAGAAAACATTGGTCGACTTCTATAGGTCCTTTCCTTCTGAAATATTCCATGTAGGAGGAAATTTGCTGGGAAAACGTTGTCTATATATTTGTGCAAGAACATGCATTTGCACACTCATGTCAACAATAATAAATGCTCGTTGACAGCCGCTAATTTGCAAGCTTTGATGGAAATCTCAACAAGCATATAACCCCTTATTCAAAAGAATATAAGTAAAACAGTGCATTTTTCTCACTGAAGAAATTTGAATTTTGAAAATGCTTGCTAATCTTTGGTTTTTCATTTTATACAAAGTTTTAAATTACTTAGCAAATTATACCCCTTATACCCGCTCATTTGAAAGTGCGGCTCTTGTCTTACTTCAGTGACTTCCGCAAACAAAAGCAATCCTTTCGATTTATTCAGTCATATTCACAAGTTTATTAAGCTTAAACTGATGACAAACTTATTAGAAAATATTACATTAGCAAAAATAATCGAAAAATATTTTTAAAGTGCAATTAGTGTATTTTAATGTAAAAAAATAATATATATGGGGATAATGCGGAGAAGTCAAAATATGGCTGCAAAGCTTCAAGGAATTCGGTCAAACAATGATAGAACCAGACTGACAAACGTCGTCGCAGAGCTATTCCAGACAATAAATATTCCACAAATTTGTGCATTATTATCGGAATGTAATATAGATTAAACCATCAATGCTAAGAATCGAAATTATGAATATTTTGCAGAGAGCTAAAGAGGGAACAATGAACGCTTTATGTTGAAAATTTCAATCAAGCCATTTCGCCAATCGTTTGAAAATGTATGTATACAACATGGCTTATAGCAAATGGTCTCGATAAACTCAGCTTTCAATATTATAAAAGATTCATCATTGAGTTGGTGATGCAGTATCATAAGTTTTCAACATAAAAGAGACGAATTCCTTTCGATAGGATTTACAAGGTCGAAACGACATTGGGAAATTTAATACACAGTATGGCTAGGTCGAATTTCTTTTCCTTTTGTTCGGAAAATAATTACCACCCGTCGGCTCGTGCCTTTTCTCAACATAAACAGTATAACATAAATACAGCGTCAGCGGGCTGATAATATATTTTCATCCATGGCCGACTATAAAACGTTGGTATATCGAGCCGACTGCATTTTATTTTGCTTTGTAATATCACAGCCCATTGTACAAAACATAATAGCAATATTTTGACATTATCAGCCAATAACGGTGATCTATCATCGGTAAAATTCACGACTAAAGCTTTAATTTTATTTTTGGAAAATAATGTCATGAAATCCAAATAAGATTTGTATTTAGTTCACGTTCACGTAGAGAATACATTTTTGAACAAGGAATGGTCTCATTTTCACGTGAAAACTAATGAAAACAACTATCATTTGCGTCTATTGGTTAGAATAAGATCATCCTGTAAATATCAGTTCAATCTGCATGTAAGAATTGTGCTGTACTAGACTAAGCATTAACAATATTTCATATTAATTCGTGCTATTATTGGATCTCCATTTCACCGTGTTTGTTGGAGGAATACCGGTCATTCTCTTTTTATTGTCTGTGTCTCGTGAAAAGAAGTACCCACATGTTGGCTTTCCTAAACTTACGAAAGGTGCAAGAGAGTTGACGTTCGTCATCCACATTGCAGCTCTAACACTGTCAGGTGTTGTCGTCGGACGAAAGGGCTGAGGCCTCACTGCTCCTCTAACTTCTCCGGATCTCGTGTTAGAATGTCTGACGAACATGTCGCTTCCTGATGCTGGTGCTTTGCTGCTGTCTTGCAAA